TAACTTGAAATAGTGTTTTCTTCTTGATTGCCTAATAGTTTGTTGTACAGATATCACATATTTATCCATTTATCAGTTGATGGATACTGGAGTTGTTTCTATGTTTTGACTGTTATGAATAATGTTCCTATGAACATTTATGTACAAGTTTTGTGGAGGACACATATTTTCATTTGTCTTGGGTCTATAAGAGTTCAGTTTCTGGGTCCTATGGTAACTCCATGCTGAGTACTTTGAGGAATTGCCAGAGTGTTCATACTTGCTCTTATGCATGTTAATCTATTGATGTCTTGGTGCTGTTCTTACAGATTTGTATGAGCTCTTTATATAACGTCAATGTTAGCCTTATATACTTGCAGAAAGTATTTTAATCCCCATATATTGCTTGCCTTTAATTTGGATGAGTTGTTTTTTGTATGCAAATATTTTTCAGTTCTATATTGTCAGTTCTGTCAATATTTCATTTTGTAACTTGTTTCATTGTTACTAAGCTTTTTTAAAAAAAAAAAAAACATTCCTTGGCTGAACAAGGTGATGCATGCCAGTGGTCCCAGCTACTCAGGAGGCTGAGGAGGAAGGATTGCTTGAGCCCAGGAGGTTGCAGCTGTGGTGAGCCATGATAGTGCCACTACATTCCAGCCTGGGTGACAGAGCAAGTCCCTGTCTCAAAAATGAACAAACAAACTATTCCTCTGTGGAGTTTGAATCATATTAATATTTATTTTCTTATAGTTTTTCTATAATTTGATCTTTTTAAATATTTCATTACTTTATTTAGGTCATTTGGGTGGATGATGTGAGATTTAAATAAAAGTGGATTTATTTTTACTCCCAATTATCTAACCAGTTGTACCATTACCATTTTTTGAACACTTCCTCTTTCTCTGCTGAATTTGTCTTCATATTGCCTCTTTCATTTATTATTAATTTTTTACATGTCCTAATGTTTGTTTTGGTCAGCATGCCTATTCCTGTACCAGTACCACATTGTTTAAATTACTGAAAGTTTAGAATATGTTTTGTACCCAGGAAAACAGCCATATTTCCCTCAACCCAGTTCTTCATATTTAATCAATCGTCTCTTTCAAAAATTTCTTAGTGACTCTTTTTTCCAGATGTTTCCCAGCTTTTTCCAAAGTTCTGTTATGCTTTCTAAATACTGTTGGAATATCTATTGCGCTTGCATGAAATTCTCAATGAAAATTCAAGAGACTTGACATTTTAATAGCAGTAAATTTTTTCATCCAGGAACCTGGAATATCTCTCTGGTTATAGTTTTCTGAAAAAGCTCAGCCGAATATTGTACTCATTATATGTGAATCACGTAATGTTTACTCCCCACTGGAGCAGCTCCAGGTTCTGAGGGGCCTAAAGCTTATGTGATTTTGGGGGGTTTTCTTAAAGAAAATGAATAGAAAATTGGAAATACAAAATTAGGTACGTAATCTTGCAAGGAGCCTGGTGGACTCTGGGCTGCCTTTACTTTCTAGGCAGTTGGCTTCTATTCACAGGTATGTCTTTGTTGATCTTATTATTATATATTTGTAATATAGTGCCTATCCTGTAGACAATATATTAGGATAGACAATATATTGCAAATACATTATTGGTACAGGAATTAAAGAAGCTAAGAACTAAACTTAGAAAATATCTTGAATAAAACTGTTTTCTACTTTTCCATTTTGGAATGTTTGTACAAACAATCATACTATGTGGCTAGCAATAACCTTATATCATCTTCTGTAATATTTTTCCTACATCTTAAACTTGTTGAGAAAAGGATCCATATATTGAAGGTCATTAATAAACGTTTTTTTAGTGGTGACTGATAAACTCAGTATTTACTGAGGCCATAGCTAGATGAATTTGCTACTCATCAAGTTTAAGGCTTCAGATGCAGCATAATTTTGCCCATAATGCAGAGTGTAGGCTACAGACCTGTACACATAAAATAGCATACTTTGCATCCTAGACTGGGTTTTTAACACAACTTTTTTTTTCTATTAGTGTGAGGATCTTACTCTGTTGCCCAGGCTGGAGTGGGGTGGTACGATCATGGCTCACTGTACCTTTTAGCTCCTGGAGTCAAGTAATCCTCTCACCTCAGCCTCCCAAGTAGCTAGAACTGCAGGCACATGCCACCATGCCCAGCTAACTTAATTTTTTTTTTTTAAGAGACAGGGTCTTGCTCTGTTGCCCAGGCTGGTCTTGAACTCCTGGACTCAAGGGATCCTCCCACCTTAGCCTCCTGAAGCACTAAGATTACAAGCTCGAGCCACCACATCCAACTTTAATATGATCTTAATGCTCTAAACTCAGAGTATATGTATAAAACCTTTTCAGCAGTTTTCATCCTAGAAATTATTCAAGAAACCATGTATTTGACCTGGTTTCTTGGATTAAAAAATAGCCAAATGGGAAGAAAAGCTTCCTAATGAAATACTCTTGAACTTAAGTCAATAACTAGGTTTAAAGAGTCTCATTAGGAACTTACTCTATTTACAAAACAAATAAAAACTATTGAAAAGATTATTTGGTAGCTGTATCCTACTGCTACTGCCTTTTATAAGATAAGGGATCTAATTTTCATAGGTCATTTGAAAACCACTTATTTTAGAAATTTCAGAAGACACATCATTTATCACTTCTGTTTTACTTTTTGATGGTTTTGAATTCTAATGTAGAGATTGTAGGACAACAGAAAAGTGGACAGTTCAAGTTATTTATTAGTTAATTAAATTAGCTGTCATCTTTGTAGATAATACGGATTTTGGAAAACTCACAAAATCCTATAATACCAAAAGCTTCCCACCAAGTGCTTTGGAGGCACACGACACATTATGGTTTATGGCACTGAGAACACCAACCTTAGTCCCTAATTATCCAAATAATCAAGAGTACGGGGATGTTTTTAGCTAAGACTTTTGGTTTTAGTAACCCAAGATACCTAGTCACAATAAAGAATGCTCAGGTAATTGTGATTATAACCGCTAGTTAAGTTTAGTTGTATGATTAACTGTATATTTGAGACATGGGATTAAGAAAGGATGCAGTAAAATACAAGCAGCTTTAAGTGATTTAATTAGCACACCAAAAAGGTGGAGGGAAAAGCTCACAGACTCACCTTAAATTGTTTTCGGGCCAGGCACAGTGGCTCACACTTGTAATCCCAGCACTTTGGGAGGCCACGGCGGAGGGGGGTGGGGTAGGTGGGGAAGTGTGGGAGAGGCCAGATCACTTGTGGTCAGGTGTTCAAGATCATCCTGGGCAAGATGGCAAAACTCCGTCTCTTCAAAAAAACAAACAAAAATTTGTGGCAAGCACCTGTAGTCTCAGCTACTTGGTGGGGTGAGGCAGGAGGATCACTTGAATGGGGAGGCAAAGGCTGCAGCTGCTGTGAGCCGAGATTGTGCCACTGCACTCCAGCCTGGATGATAAAGTGAAACCCTTTCTCAAAAATAAACAAAAGCAAACTTATTTTTGGTCAACATGATTTAATGCCTATTAGATTTTTTCTTTGTCTAAACATCAGGAAATAACAAAAACCCTATAATTTATATGTGCTTTTGGAATTGGTAACCACAGAAAAATCCATGAAATTTTAGGATGTTTTTAAGTGTATGGAGGCTTTGAACATTTCTTGTATTTTTAGTAGAGACGGGGTTTCACCATGTTGACCGGGATGGTCTCGATCTCTTGACCTTGTGATCCACCCGCCTCGGCCTCCCAAAGTGCTGGGATTACAGGCTTGAGCCACCGCGCCTGGCCTTGAACATTTCTTTTAATAAATCTCACCTTTTTTCACCTCCAAGTGGACTTTTGGGAAATAAAAATGGATTATTATTGTGAATTAATGCAAAGAAAAATAATTATTGATATGTATAACATACCACCCAAATTAAAAAGCCTACATTTGGAAAAAGACAGTTAAAAGCATGACAAAACATAATAACCTTTCATTGTATTAAGAGGTGAGAAAAGAAAGAAATGAATGACTGTGTGATGTTCTAGCCCTTCCTTTGGAGAACTTTTGCATGGAATATTGTGATTAGCATGGTGATGGCTCCAGCTTTAAGCTTTTATCACTGTCTAGGTTGTAAAGTAGAGCATGCAATATTATATCTTAAAAGCTCTTTAATTTTTAAAAACCCCAGAGAGCCTTTAAGTGAGACTTAATTAAAATTCAAATCAACCTTAGATGTATGTCCAAGACAGTTTTCAAAAGACTGTACAATCTGTGCACCTTTGATTCCATTCCCTTTCCAGTGTTATCTCCAGTAGCTCCAGGCAGCACCCACTTGGCCAGTGAGTTTGGAAACCCATGAGGGCATTCTGGGGTTGACACATTGATTTGATATTAGGTATCACTGACACTTAACAGGAGGGGACCAGGTGTGCCTGATGGCCCCAAAGCTTGATTTGATTCTGCACAATGAAAAAATGTTCCTGCCCTGCTGTCATTCAGATGCCCTGAACAATAGCCGATGACAAATATGGCAGTAGTACTTTTAATACCGATCTAAGTCAGCAACGCTTCCATGTGAGGGAATAATGAAAAGTTTTAGACAAAGCTACATAAAAAGGCTCCTTAGTTAAGCAAAAGTCCTTAGGTAGAGGAAAGCTTAAACTACATAAAGATATTTTATAAGAATTTTTGAACAACTTATTCTTTCTGTGATCTTGGCTTTGTTGTTTTGTTCATTGCAGAGTCTTTTTGGCACTAATGTGATGTTTTAAAAGATGATACTACAATATTACTGATCTTGATGATTGAATTTAAACTTAAGGAACCCTTAAATTTTGTGCTTGAAGTGAGTGGTTGACTCTTCTCACTGTAGACATAACTCTGGTGTTCACAGTTTACAGGGGAAAGGGTTTCAGGGCAGCTGTGCATTTACTGTAAAGGCAAGAAAATCAAAATTATGTTGCGTAATTAAGGAGCAAATGAAATACAGTAGTCACAATACATTTATTAATAAATGTTATTTTAAAATAAACTCACTGCCCTTGAGATGTCGTCAATTCTCTATCACTGCTGTGATCTTCTGATAGGCATTGCCACTGGATGGAGTGACCAGATACGCACCAACAGCCCCAAGTACACAGACAATTCAAGGCAATGATGGTGTCCATTGGAAGACCTTCACATGGTGAAAGTGCTGATTTATTAATTAGCTATGATGCAGGGCCAGCTATAGATGGAATCAACTCAAGAGCATGGGTTGGAGGATTAATGTTCATATTCATACTCCTTGCATGCAGGAATTTGAATCCCCTGCATGCAAGCTACTTGATCAAGTTAAAGTAGTTGCCCACAAAGCACAGATGGCGACCTACTACACTCTGAGAACGCTCTTGGATCAGTGCATGGATGGTTCCATTGCTTTACCTGCTGTTGTATCTGAGATTCCAGTTTGTCAGCAGAAGGAAGTACTGGTTTGAAAGGTACTTAGAAATTTCTTTGAATGTGGGCGTGTACTTTGCCACCCTGTTATTGGGGAGCTATCACCACGAATGTTCCCAAACTTAGCAACGGCAGCAAAATACTGGGCCAAAAGAAGGAATCCGACATTTTCTGGATTTCAAGATTTAAATAACAAACACGTGAACTAATCCTCATGTTATATATATAAAAAGAAATGATGTGAAAATCACATTCTAAAATTATCTGAGGGTTGCCTATTGTTTTCAATCTTAGTCTGATATGTCTCTGACATCTATCACAAATTCTCTATAATTCTTTATTTACTTCTTTAAAAGAATCTATCCAACATTCTCTATGGCCATTCAAAGATGTGATCTCCAAAGTCTTTTTTAGTACTGGAGGCTAAAAATATGCTTTGACATGTGGTAGAGTTTTGAAATAATTGAAATGTTTTCTGTAGTTACATAGGGAGTTATTTTTATTTTATTATTTATAGATAAGGCCTAGATCAGTTTTAAGGTTATTACATTTCCTCTCTAATTTGTCTTGATTATTTTTCTAATTATGTAGAAATAACTCTGATGCACTATCACCTACCCTAGCACTGTTGTTTGTTATGGTTCTAGTACCCCTGTACCTCCATTCATTTCAGGAGATCTCTTTTATGGAATGACTTAATATCTTTCTTAAATCAAAATGTAATCATGAAGTCGATGCAAGGATCTGGCTATTTTAATAGGTGTAATGTAGTCATATCTGAGCATTTACATATTTAAATACATGTTATGAATTATTTTCCTTTTAGTTCTCTGTTAAATGATGGAGATACTGTTTTCATTTCTAAAACATTGTTTATGTAGAATATATCATCCAAGAATTTCATTCCTGAATATGTGATAGATTATGTTTCCAAAGGTGACCATAGCATTATCTCCCATTCCACAACTATTTTCTTTCTGTAGCCCAAGCCTGAGTGCGGTGGCGTGATCTCTACTCACTGCAATTTCCGCCTCAGCCTCCCAAGTGGCTGTGACTACAGGCACACGCCCAGCTAATTTTTTGTATTTTAGTAGATACGGGCTTTCACCGTGTTGTCCAGGATGGTCTCGAACTCCTTGGCCTCCCAAAGTGCTGGGATTACAGGTGTGAGCCACAGCACCCGGCACCACATGTGAGTTCAATATAACCTCGCAATTTCAACATCGAGAGGTGGGGTCTTTTTTCCCTTTCCTTGAACTTTGGCTGGGCCTGTGACCTGTCTTGGCCAAGAGTGCAGCGACGTAAGACTCTGTAACTTTGGGGCTTGGCCTTAAGAGATTTGCAGTTTCCACCTTTGCTTCCAGGAATGTTCTATCTTTGAACGTTGCTGCCATGCTACCAGGAAGCCCGAGAAGCCACATGAGAGGTTGACCTGAAAGACAAGGGTGGTGCTAGACCAACAGCCCCAGCTGAGCTCCGGGCCAGCAGCCAGTGCCAGCTCAGTTATGTGAGTGAGGCCACTTGACTTCTTAGGGGCCGCAGAGCCCCAGCTGCCAATATTTTGTCAAGCAGAACTGCCCAGTCAACCCACAGAATCATGAGAAGTCACACGTTGCTGTTTAGGGATGTTTTATTTCACTTAGATGATAAACAAAATAGACAATTAAAGGGAGTCGTTACAGCATATCTGTTATAAAAAGTGTTGTTAAATCTAACATTGTTGAGAACCACTGTCACAGATAGTAAACACTCCCCACTTAGGACTTTTAAAAGATTCAACAACTTGCAAAGATTTTTTTTTTTTTTCTAACAAGAGATTACTTGGATTAAAAACTAGTCAATTCTCAGTTTTAAAAAGACAACCGTAAAGGCAGAAACTTGCCACATCAACTTCTGAACATTTTAAATTTTCTCCCATTTTGTTTAAGTGAGAAGTTGATCATTTTCTATCGGACGGCAAAAAACATGACTAGAGTTAGCTGTAAGGTAATGGTTGCCAGTTGGGCGCGGTGGCTCACACTTATAATCCCAGCACTTTGGGAGGCCGAGGCAGGCAGATCTCGAGGTCAAAAAATTGAGACCATCCTGGCCAACATGGGGAAACCTAGTCTCTACTAAAATACAGAAATTAGCTGGGCATGGTGGCGCGCACCTATAGTCCCAGTTACTTGGGAGGCTGAGGCAGGAGAATTGCTTGAACACGGGAGGTGGAGGTGTCAGTGAGCCGAGATCATGTCCAGCCTGACACCTGGCATGGAGTGAGACTCTGTCTCAAAAGAAAAAGACAGTTGTTGCTATCCTATGAGTCAAAAACTGGTGAAATTTCTTTATGCTTACCAATCTTTATCTGTGTGCTAATTCTCAAATGCATACAGATGTTATTATGATTAGAAAAATACAAATTCACTCAAAAGCACTATTTTATAGTTTCCTTTTTGTCATTATATATTTTTCAGTTGTGGAGGGATCTGAACATTAAAGTGGAGTTCTCATACTTGGAATATTGGGAAACCCACTGCTGGTGGTCCCTAAATCCAGCCACTAATGGAATCGTAGCTGCTAGTATTCCTTCACATGAATCACTGTCTTCTCTCTATTTGGTTTCTGGATCTTGAAATCACCTGGTTTCTTACAGTGAACTGAGCAATGGGCTAGGAAAAGAAATTCCATAGAAAAGCTAAGAACTTTTAGTGGCAGTTGTAGGGCAACATAGCCAGTCATTAACCATCATAAAGGAATTGTGTCATGGAACCATTTTTAGAAAGCACAGACTTTTGTGTAAAGCTCAGGTTGGTGGAGATATAAAAAACTGGGAATACATGGAAAAGCTAGTGGTTGTACATGAATGAATAAATAGTGATTTATGGTATTTGACCTGAATGTTGTACACAAGTAAGGACATACTCTGGAAGTCTCATGTTAGGAAATATTTATTGAATCTGAGCATATCTTTAAATATTTTATATACCTTTTAAACCTTTTATGCTTTATATTTTTCAAAGAATTTTTTTGACTGTTATCTACCTCACAAGTGTCTTGAGGATCTAAGGAGACATTATTCTCTCTGTTTATAGACCAGGAAACCAGGGGCACAAAGAGGTAAAGTTATTTGGTCACAGTCTAAGGTGAATCACAGAGCGAGGGCAGAGGCTCAAGTCTGAGTTCTCATTTAGTACTTTTAGAGTATACGTGATATTTAAGATCAAAGGTTATAAAACACCTGTTCTTGTGTACTGAGAAGCAGTTTGGTCAGGAGACCCCTACCCAGGTGGGCTGAAGGTATTGAGAGGCAGACACTCAGATAGAACAACATATTGGTTCCATTCTGGGGACCAACAGCCTAAGTGCCTGCAGGGCTGACAGCTCACCAGACTGAATGCCCAAGTAGATTTTCATCCACGAATTTATATACTCTTTGACAAGTGATTCTCATTACACAAGTGTTCTACATATACACATAACTCAAGAATATACCAAGTAGGCAGCTATTACCTGCCTACCACTAATTACAAACTAAAAGTATCTACCACAAGGGAACCATGTGGCAGGGTAAATTTAATGTTTCTCAACACTCATGTTCTTGTCAAGCACGGACACTAGATCTACCAACACTTTTCAAGATTAGCTTGATGAAATTAGCCAGGGAGAACTTGCTCCAATACCAGAAAGAGAGAGGGAGAGAGGGGCACATAAAACAACATGAAAAAGCCACTGTGAGCGTCACTGTATTCACCTGCATGTTGAAGTAATTTCATGTACTTATTGTTTTTCTTTGTTTTGAGTGATTGACAGTTTCTTAATCGAATAGAGTGAATAAAAATGTCTTTAGAAATCTATTACTGCTATCATCAATAAATCTGTAACATAAAATTTAAGTAGTGTGCTTACTGTGTAGTTTCATTTTAAAGGCGATTCCTGTAGCTTTTCTCTGACCAAGAATCTAAGTGGACCCTCGAGTTACCAATGTTGACCTTTGATTGAGTGTTTGATGCATTTTAAGTGATTTCCTCCATAATTTAAACATAGACCAACACAGGGATTTAACAATGTGAGAGAAAGACTAAGGTTTAAAAGAGCTATGTTGAGATTCTCAGGTGCAAAAAAAAAAAAAAAAAAAAAAAAAAAAAAAAAAAAAAAAAAAAAAAAATTGGAGGACTGTTTTGAGTTAATTTGCATCAATATTGGCAGAAACCTTGGATATCATTAATCAGCAGGTGTTTGCATCTTTAAAATCTTTTAAATGTAGGTGTCCGATGGAAATCTTTTAAGTTTTAAATTTTGCTAACTAAGATGTAACGGCAGGGAGAGGAGGAGGAGGAAGTAAAGAAAAACCGCTGTCCACTTTCATCACTCTTTCATAAAAGGTGGGATTCAATTTCAGAATAGATGACAATCGTTTAAATTGAGAAAAGCTGGTTTCATGGACAGTTCTTACACGGCCCTTACTTCCTTGCTATGCTGTGGACTGGTGGAAATTTAATGAGAGAGGGAAGTCATTTAACATACCTGCACTGGAACCACAAACCAAAGCCAATCTCTTTGTTTTTTGGATGAGCAATGTAGAATTCCTGTCCATGTATATCTTCCAGATGGACATACTTCCAGAAGCTTAGTAAGGCTGATTCGTGAGTGTTTCTTTCATTCTTTTTTTCTTTTCTGAAGAGCGCTTCCTGCTTTGTTCCCTGCTTGTGCTGGCCAAAGCCCCTTAGAGATCATGTACTTAGAAAGGCCCAGTCATCATTTCCAGTAGCCACTAGAGCTCCTTGCTGGTCATGTCAAAGATGATGTTATCTTTATGGTAAATAGTGGACTCTTTTCCTTTATATTGTTGCTGGAGTAGTCAAAAAATTAAATTTCTCTGATCTGAAATCTGAGTGTTCTGGCTACTAATGTCATTCACCAGAAAAGTGAGGCCACTAATTAATATTAGGTCGGAGTATAAATGGAATTTGGGACACTCTTTTATAATTTTGTTCACCAGGCATAAAAGAAATTTTATGAGAGTTACATTTTCCCAGTACCATATCTCTTGTTATAACTTCTGAAGTCCATAGAACTTCGTTTTCTTAATGTTTTTACCCTGGAATTTTCAAGATTTGCATGTATAGGAAAAAAAATCTCTGCATGTATGGGAAAAAAAAATCCTCTGTTTTTCATTGGCATTTCATCTTCTTCATCCCTTCTTGCTCATTTTCCTCTACTTCACTCC